GAACGGTCGCTGCACGAGTGTTTGGCGGCTGGAAGAGGACATGAACCGCATATGCTGAGGGTAAGCATGCTTTCCATCAGACAAGAAAATATGATTCCTGACCGTTTGAACAGAATGCGTTCAAGGTTTGATCGCACCTGAAGAATGTTTTACTCGTTGCTAATTTCTTCCCAGTTTTACACGCACTTTATGGAGCACGGAACGATGAAGATCAATGGTTGGGATTGAATAAGTACAAATGGAATGAAGGTGAGATATAATCACAATTGATGTGTGGCCACAGACCCATTAGGCTCTCCAGTAACATATGTATACATACTCTCCTCCTTCGCTCTACATCGCTTCGATTACAACGTGTATTCTGTTGAGGCGTCACCAAAGAATAGGAACAGTGAACATGAATAGTTGACTGACGAATCGAGAACGAGACTCAAACTGTTGTGCCAGTATTTCTTGTCCCAGAGCGGTGCTCTCATCGCACCCAGAAGCGTCTGCAGCTCGATCTCCCAGTCCAAGACATGCCGATTCTTGTACCACAGGAGATACCGCAGTCTGTGGGCAAAGTAGGGCTTTGGATTGCCGCGAAAGGGCGCGGGACAGTGGCGGAGGACCGCGGCGTGGCGCAGGAACCAGGCTTTCGCGTGGACCATCCGCATGCATCGCTTGAGTTCGTCGATGCGGTCCTGGATGACGCGTTGTGCGGTAGGGAGATGAGTTCGCTTGCGTCGCGGCACCGGAGTCAGGTATCTTTAAATGAAACTTAACGTTAGTACATGTACAATGAAGAATTGAATCGAACGAGCCATCTCAGCTCACTCTGCGTTGGGGCCAGAAAAAGACTCGAGCCCCACCTCACTTGAAGCCCGACTGTGGTCATCTTCAGATTCGGATCTGCGTTGTTGGGCACTGCGGTGGCACCTCAGAAGGACTTGTTTCCGCAGCGATTCCTTGCTGTCCTTCTTCTTAACCGGAGGCCTGCGCGGCGGATTAATTACGGCGGCGCGCATGGGTCAAGCCGAGGGTGGGAGGTATCTACCTTAGCCCATGAGAAGCTGAAGCTCTCTTGTATCTTCGTTGAGATGGCTCTGTGACTGCAAGCATGACAACCCGGGAGAGGGAAGGTGTGCAGGTTATTGTCTTGCAAAACAAGGATGGAGATTGAGAATAGAATGAGGGTGGCCACAGCGGCAGTGTCCACTCCACATCTATCTGTCTGATAGCGATGCGTCGAAGGCCCAAGGCCTGATCGGGGCGGACCTAGTTCGGACCTCTGGCGTTGTGGACTAGAAAGGAAACTCTTGTTTCTTCGACCATCGCATTCCAAGGCAAGCAGACAAGTTTGCTCTCAAGCTATGGGAATGAGCGAGTGTGTCGAAGGCCAGTGTGATAGGGGCGGGTCGCCCGCTCATGGTGGCCACGGTGATTAAAAAAGAAAGCCGCTAAGCCAACCGTTGTCCTTTGTGGGTCCAGTGGTGTCCTTGTTTGCGCACATCCCGGTAACGCGGTCCGACGAGCGCCGAGGGCTCAAGCATTCCAAAGCGGGACAAAGGCGAAAGGTCTAAGAGGAGGAGATGAAGACCCGGATGGCGAGGCAGAGTCTGGGAAGAGGTACTTGTTGACGAAATGTCAGGGGAAGAAAGCGATGCAGAGTGGATACATCTCCGTTTTGGAGAGCATCGACTCGGAGTGCATCCCTGAAACCAAAGTTGATCTGAAGAACATCTTGAGAAAGGCCAGGAAACTCTCCATGTGATGTTCCCGAAAAGTACGGTGAACAGACATATAGACGTCGCGATATCGAGGCAGTATAATTTGAAAGCAAGAACTCTAGCAAGTCTAACTCGAAGAACTGAGTTAGAAACGAGCATGGAAGAGGCATACTTCTATTGTAAAACAGGGTGGAATGGCAGGAAGAAGAGAAGCGGAGGGTAAAAAAGCGGTGCAGACTTGGGCATAGACGCGAGTGGATGGTCGAATCTTCAACAAGTCTGACCATTCGGAGGCAGACGTGGCTCCGATGCAGTGTAGGCAGCAAAACTCAGCCATGGGGCAGACAGCTTTAGAAGGCCACATGAATAGTAGTTTTCGGTCTCGAGCAGCATCTGGCAAGCAGTGGCAACAATCTTGCAATTTCACAGGCATAGAATGCTATCCAGGTAAATACCAAAGGTCACTGCGCTACCTAGCGTTTGTGAGAAGTTCAGAAACGATGGGAATCCCGAGACCAGACTGGCAGCCCGTAAACAAGATTTCCTCGAAAGAAACCTAAGAAAGCTTCTAGTCGGCATTTGATATTCGAGGTGCCCGAAGCATTTAGACCGCATTTTTTTTTTTACCAGTCTGCTTGAAAAAAGTCTGGAAGGATCAACCTGAAGAAGTAGTAAATTTTTGAAAGGAAGACTGTGCCAGTGGTGGTACCGAACAAAACTTGATCATCATCACTCGATTGTGCCGCGGCATCATAATGATGATCCCATTTGCGGCTCTGCTCTTCCGAGACTTCATCTTTCGACACCGTAGCGCCTCAGGAATTTCAAGAGAATTCCTTGAGTGGCCCATAACCCTTCTTTCACCGGTTCCAATATCTCAGTCTGACACGCGTGGCCTATGATCTCGGTATGGCTGTCGATTGGGGGGGGCTACTCAAGCTCATCGTGCTCGCTATAGGCATTCTTCATCTTCAACCAAAAGGGCGAGGTCAGTTTCAGGCAGATGGAGGGCTGAAACGCGGCTCAGCTCGTACTAGGTCCTAATCTCACGACTGTACCGAACGGATTTCAAGTATGCATTCAAGGGCACCGTGTAAGAAGTCTGCTGAAGTCTTCTGGATAGACGGTCAATAGCGGACGTCTTCCGGATCCAGGTCGTCTCTAACAGCGATGTCCGGTCGCCCATCATCACCCTCGGGTCGACGAGCTTCTTCCACGTCCGCATAAACAGTCTTTATGTTGTCGCGGTGACAAAGTGCGCACCCTCGCATTTATCCGCTGCAATTAATCCTCAAGCTTTCCATGAACAGGAACAACGCAAACGCTGCGCTCGTCTTTGAGTTCTGCTACCGATTTATTAACATCTGCAAGTCGTACTTTGGCAAGATAGACGAGGAATCTATCAAGAACAATTTTGTGCTGATTTACGAGCTCATCGACGGTGCGTCCGCGCCAACATTATCGGTCCTTCGACCCATGACTGACGAGGACCCAGAAATTAACGATTTTGGATACCCACAGAACAGTGAAATTGATACCCTGAAAACATACATTACCACGGAGAGCATCGTTTCTTCCGCTATTGCTGCGGTACGTACACTTGGGTCGCAAGCCGCGCGCGCAGTTCTGATTTGTCCCCTAGGAAGAGTCGTCGAAGATCACGGCGCAGGCTACGGGCGCGACGAGCTGGCGGAGGACGGACGTCAAGTACAAGAAGAACGAGGCGTTCGTGGACGTCGTGGAGACGGTCAACCTGAGCATGAGTGCGAAAGGTGTGTTTCCCTGCTTTTCTTCTTTTCGTTTGATTCACCTCCATCACGCAAGGCACGGTCCTCCGCGCGGACGTCGACGGGCACATTCAGATGCGCGCGTACCTGTCCGGCACGCCCGAGTGCAAGTTCGGGCTGAACGACAAGCTTGTCATCGACAAGAGCCAGCAGGGCATCAGCGACGCGGTGGAGCTGGACGACTGCCGCTTCCACCAGTGCGTACGGCTGAACGACTTTGACGCGACGCGGACGATTAGCTTCATCCCGCCCGACGGCGAGTTTGAGCTCATGCGGTGCGTGCCGTCCACTCTCCCCTTCTCTTGTCTTTCCTCAAACTCACACACAACCTACATCACCCAGATACCGCTCCACCTCAAACGTCAAGCTGCCCCTGCGCGTGATCCCGACCGTCACCGAGATCGGCACGACGCAAGTCTCGTACGCCGTCACCGTCAAAGCCAACTTCAACAACAAGCTCTCCGCGACGAACGTGGTGCTGCGGATCCCGACGCCACTGAACACGACCGCGGTCGACTGCCAGGTCGCGAATGGCAAGGCGAAGTATGTCCCCGGCGAGAATGTTGTTGTGTGGAAGTGCGTTTATGTCTCCCTTGTTTCTTCCCTCCTCATCCTTCCCTTCATCCATCCCTCCCCGCCGCCGACCACCCGCTGACACGCACGCCAGACTCCCCCGCCTCCAAGGCGGCCAAGAATGCACCCTCAACGCCACGGCGGACCTCACCTCCACGACCCACCGCCAAGTCTGGGCCCGGCCCCCCATCGACGTCGACTTCCAGGTCCTCATGTTCACCTCCTCCGGCCTCATCGTGCGCTTCCTCAAGGTGTTCGAGAAGAGCAACTACAATAGCATCAAGTGGGTGCGGTATCTGACAAAGGCGAGCGGGACGTATCAGATTAGGGTGAGTCGTCTGCTTCTTTCTGCGCTTTCCTTTCCTTTGCCTTTGGGGATTGAGTTAGTTGGCTGACGGATTTCGGGGCAGTTTTGATTCACGACCGCGGACGATTTTGTGTATTGTGCTGTAGTTTATAGGTGATATAATAATACTTGGAAATGGATTGCAGGAACCCGGCTCGGCGCGACATCATTCCTTGACTCTGCGACCTCTCGTCAACGAGTACCTCTTCCAGGCGTCTGCTCTTTGCTCTGGACATTTCGTCTTTGTCCAACTTCTAGACGATGCCTTAAGCCTCGGTGGTCGGGTCCCGCTTCTGGTCTCCAGAGCAGAACAATTTGGTGCTGACTTTGCGTCTTCAGCGCTCTTCTCCTTTCAGAAAGAGTCGTCTTGCGCTCGGGACTGCGTCAGTCGTCTTTGGCCACTACTTATGTGTTCCTCGTTCCTTCCATATTCAGAAGCCTCCTCCGCCTGGAGTCTGTGGCTTAACGAGGGGAGTCTAAGTGTGCTCCGCCTGAATAACCCTGTGCTTCGCTACTTGACGCTCGCTGGACCGGAGCAAAAGAACGGGTGCAAAAGAACGGGTGCAAAAGAGCTCTTACACTTCATACACTCAAGGGGAGTCGAACCCCTGCCGCTTGCTACCGGCTTCATCTGCTGATGTAACATGGAAGGCAAGCATGATAACCGCTTCACCATGAGTGTGTTAGAGCGAGAGCAGAAGAAGTGGCTGACCCCGAGAGATTGCGTTGATCAAACCGCGGTGTTTATAAATTCCCCGATGATGTTTTTTCCGAGTTTGGATCAAGCGTCTCCTATCTCCTTGATTGTTCAGGCTTGCTCATCCCTCAAACTTTCAAACGAGAATGGCCGCTGCCACTGCAGAGTAGCAGCGATTGCTCGCCTCACCCATGGGCATCTTCATGTCCAAGCATGGTGATGGCATTCTCGATCTTCAGGGCATGTGCTCCCCTACAGAGCTGAGCGCGGTGGCGGACGAAAACCACCCCTTCTACGCCGAATTCAGCAGCGTTTTAAATGGGGAGGACATCATGGCATGCCGCAACCTCGCTTCAGGAGTGAGGACTCTATTCTGACTCAATCACAGCGCATGCCCCACGAAGGTCCCGAGGTCGCCAAGATTAAGCTCTATACTATCCCGACGACCGACTTCGTCATTCGACAGTACCCCCTCCCAATCGGCAGCCGCCCTGGCGAGAAGGATCGACAGGCGTTTATTTTCGATTTCTACGATGTCGCGGAAAACTGTCAGCTCCCAGAAGTCCCAACCGGATACACTTTTCGGGCGATGAGCGCCAAGGCAGGGGTATGGGACTGCAGCCAATCGTGCTTGGCCCATACGGGACGACCATCACGGTACGTGGGGTGCAGTTTGACGTCAAGCGGGGGACCGAGGTGTTGCTCGAGTTTGCTGCCTACGACTAGTTCACAAAGCAGCACTTACAAAAATACCCCTACACGCTCGCTGATACTCACGCTGTTCTGGCTTCGAGTTTTACATTTCACGCAGACTTGGCAATTTCACGACTTCGAGCAGAATGTGTACGACGGAGGCGTGCCCCAAAATACTGGCCTGTTTTGCTGGAATGCAGGGAGTCGACTTCAACTGCGCTCTTTCTTTCTCGGCGCCTCGCCTGGATCGTTCTCAGGCTATGGTTCCTTTCGCTATCTTGTGCGACGGAGCCCGTTTTTGCAAAGGAACCGGAGCAAAAGAAAAATAACAAACAAACAATGTCCTACACTCAAGGGGAGTCGAACCCCTGCCGCTTGCTACCTACAGAGCATGGAAGGCAAGCATGATAACCGCTTCACCATGAGTGTGTTGGAAGGAGCTAGTCTCCAACTTTCCAGTGTGCGCAGGCAAGCATCATACACATCTCCCAACATGATCTGACCCTCGCACAGTCAAAATTCCCCCCAAAAACACCAAGTGAACGTCAACGTCGGCCTTGAAAACATTTGCAAGTTCGAGGTTCGTGAAGAAATTTTCGACACTCCAATTACTTACTTTGAATTTTTGCCGTTCCCAGTTCTCCTTTGTTTTCATCTGCGAATGACTGGTTTCGAAATCTGACCTCCCCACCAACGCTAGGTACGCACTCAGTCTGCTTGATGTATACAGCTCGCCTGACGGTTTGGTGAATACCGACCTGCCAGAAGACCTCCTAATTATCATCGTCCAAGATGCCGCTCAAGACATATCAACAGCAGCTTCTCTTGCCTTGGTCTGTATTACCCGTCAGCCGCCTGGCCGAGTCCGTCTTGTACACCCGGAATTTTGTGTTCGCCTCATTCTGCGCGCGCCTTCGCGTCCACGCGTTGCACCAAGAATCGGGAGCTGCTGGCTCACGTCCAGAGCTCGGTCCAATGATCCCCGTTCCGTTTGACTCTGCAAGCTTGATCAATCAGCGATGTCCACCTCGAGCGGTTATGCATCTTGTCCAACGGCTTCTGGTCCGCCCGATCCATCGCACGACGTGGTCGCCTCGACTCCCGAGACGCCAATCTCCCACCCCGACAACCCAATGCCAACACGGGCTCCGAGTTTTCCCGCTTGATTCTCTCCCTGCCCAGCCTGCGAATGCGCGTCGTTGTCATACGTCGGAAAACCGCGGCAGCATCCGCAGAGACCAGATCCCCGCGACAAAAGGTACGTATGCGATTCTACATTTGGACGAGAACGACATTATCATAAATGGGGATGGGCAATACTGAGATTGGGTAGAGGAAATCGCACGCACCTCCACTCATCCTGTGGCCCCGGTGCCGCAGGGTGCCCCGCGAGGACTTTTGAGTTGCCAGTGGAGCCGCCGTAATATTGGTCCTGGGCCCAGTGGCATTTTCGGATTTTCCGTACACTTTCTGGAATGCAGCATCTTCATGTATACGAGAGATTGAAATCTGGATAGTGTCTGCACCTCCGAATGGAACAGTCGGATTTTGCTTCTCCAATTATTATATTTTCTACACGAGCTTGAGTTCAGTTGTCTGAAGAGAAACGATCAGGTGATTTGGCACTGATTGCCCGACACCTCGCATCATCGTCACGGCACTCCGCACTCCCTTTACTTCTTCCTCTCGCAATGGCAGCTTTCGCAAGGCAAGGCAGAAAAGAAAGTCTCCAAGCACATCTTCCTTTCATTTGCAGCTTAACGAGCCCAGATTGTGGCCATCGGCCGGAACTACATGGAACATGTCAAAGAACTGAACAACACTGCGCCCAAGGAGCCATTCTTCTTCTTAAAACCTACCACGAGTTACGTGTCCTCTGGCGGAAAGGTAGAAATCCCCAGCGGAGTCATTGCCCACCATGAAGGTGCGGATCTGGACCGCTGTTCTTGAAATCGACAAATAAATCTGGAAATGAATGCAGTTGAGCTCGGTGTGGTTATTGGGAAAGGCGGACGGGATATCAGCCAGGCAGATGCCGAGTCCCATGTCGCTGGCTATGGTGAATATCAGTATGCTTGCCGTTCTCGCGGTGTCATAATTATCTTGCAGCCCTTGCGGTCGATATGACTGCGCGGAACATGCAGGAGCATGTCAAGAAACGCGGTCTTCCTTGGACCGCTGCCAAAGGCTTCGACACCTTCACACCGATAGGGTGGGTAACTCGCGAATGCGAGCCCCTGGTTCCTGTTAACATGGAACTTCTATGTAGCTCGTTTATTCCCAAGGACCAGATCTCGGATGCGCACAACCTAGGCATCGCGCTCAAGGTACCTATCTTCATATTCGAATTATATTATCATTGCTTTTCTTGCCCACGTAGATAAACGGTGAGTTCAAGCAGAACGGCACCACCGCGGATATGCTCTTCAAGATCCCCCGGTTAATCGAGCACGTCTCGTCCATCATGACCCTCGAGGTAAGCCCTGCTTCCTTTTTGTATTTCTCAACTTATCCATCATCTACAGGAAGGCGACCTCATCTTAACCGGCACTCCCTCCGGCGTGGGGCCAGTCGTTCCGGGTGACAAGGTCGAATGCACCCTCGCCGACAGCTCCGGCAAAGAACTTGCCACTGTCGACTTTGTCGCCGTCGCGCGCGAGGGTGGCTACAACTTCACTGCCCAGTGATCGATACAACAACAGATTCTAAGTTAATGTATACGTATGTGCCACTGCGAAGGACAGCGTCGGTCGTCGCAATACAAATAAATATACAAATGCACGAAAGCTCAACGCTCAGCACGCCAGCCAGCCTTATGACATGCGTTTTTCTTCCTCGGGGCTCTGTGGTTCCAAGTGTTCTGCCAGCGACCCGGCCTCGTCCGAGGGCGACGGGCTCGAGTCGCTCGTAAATGTCCAGCTCCCCGCAGTGGGTGTCAGCTCGCCGTCTCGTGGCGGGCTGAACTCCCCAAAGTCGGCAAAGCTATCAAACGCCGTGTCTTCCATCTCGTCGGAGAAGGAGGACGAGAATGTGAATGGGTCGGTGCCGTCTGCTGCCGCCGCGTCGGAGAAGGGCCCGAACCCGTCCTAGATGATGCGTAAATTAGCTCGAGAGAATAGGGAGGGGTAAGAGATGTACATCATCGTTGAAAGGATCTCTCGCTATGGACGCATCGCCGCCCGGAGTGAAGACGTCCTGTCACTCTGTCAATTCGTGGCCCACAAAGAGACAACGATGCACTGACATCAAATCCACTCGCACCCAGCGGTCGTCTCTCCGACCCCTGCAAGTGCCGACTCGACACTGGCGGGTTCCCGAGCGCAAACGTCGACTGCGACAACCACCCGCCCCATCGTCGTCCTCCTCATCCGAATCAAAGTGATGTTCCGACGACGACATCTCGGACGAGTATTGAAACTATGCGCGCAATCAGCATGATGGAGGTCGAAGAAGAATAATTGGCATACGCTCGGCACACGGTCCTCATCGTCCCCCTCATCATCCTCCATCGGTGCAGGCCCAAAGTCCGCACTGTTCTCCCTCCTCGGCCGCGCGCTCGTCGCCCTCTTGAACTCACCCCTCCCATTCGCCCCACTGCCCCCACTTGCACCCGCCTCCCCACCCCAAGCGCCGTCGTCCCCGTCGTATCCTCCTCGTCAACCTTCCACCTCGTCGCCCCGCCCCCGACCGCGCCGCTCCTTATAACCGGCTTCCCGCCCCCAAGCAGCTCCGCGTCGCGCCGCTTCGTCTCGCGGTACCGTCCCTTGACGTACTCGTCCCACGCGGGCTGCGGCGCGTACCCCGCGAGCACGTCGCGCAGGTCGTTCGGGAAGCGCTCGAGCGCGGTGAGAACGTCCTCGGCGATGAGCGTCAGGTGCCCCATGAAGCCCAGGCGCACCGCTTTCGGTTTCGAGCTATCGATGTCGATGTCAATGCGTGACTATTATTCTATAGCGAGTGATGGGAAAAGACCCACCACGCAACGTCGTTCATCCGCTGCCCCTCCACGATCCGGTGCATCAGCCGCGCATCGCGGAACAGGCTCACCGCAAGTTCGCGCCCCATTCCCCCGCTCCCGCCCGCGCCGCGCCCGCGCCAGCATCCACGTTCCCCGTTAGAATCTGGTGTATAAAATCGTACACCGCGCTGTGAAGAAAGTTGTTCCACGGGAACTCGAAGAACAGGTCCTGCACGCCGACGTTAGCAAGTGCCCTAGCTGTGAGAACAAAGAGGAGGAAGAAATAGGAACGCACAAGTAACGTCGACGCGATATCAAGCTCCACAAACCGGCGCTTGAGCAGCTCGCCGACAGGGAGGGGCGCGCCTGTTGTGGGCGGTGTGGGCACGCTCATGCTATTACGGGCCAAGATGCGCGAGTTGCGTTTTGAGCTCCGCAGGCTCGTCGACGACGCCGACGCGAGCGCCTCGGGCGACTCAATGATAGGGCTCTTCATCGCCAGCGCAATCTCCGTCGGCGACGGGAGCGCGTTTGCGTTCGGGGACGAGGGCACGAAGTGCGCGGGCTCCTGTAGCGGCGGCGACGACGGGGGCTCTGACGTCGCGCGCTCTGTGAGTGGCGGTGGGGGTTGTGGTGGCATTGCGGAGACGGGGAACGGCGTCGTCGACGTAGCCGCGGCGGGATCCTCGTCCATCGCAAGCTCCTCCATCGTCATCTCGTCGTCGTCCGAGCTCCCCGGCTCGTCGTCGCTGCTCATGTCCTCGTCAGAGTCGAGCAGGGACCCGGCCGAGACGTCGCTGTGCACTGAGTTGCCCGTTACGGGCAGCTCACGCGCGGGGGCGATGTCTTCTTGCGAATCGTCTTGCGAGGACGCCCCGAGCATGGGCGCGTCACGGTCGCGGTCGCGTGTGGACTCCTCGCCTGAGTTGAGCGCGATTACGCGCGCGAGCTCTTCGAGCGCGGAAAGCCCGCCTTGCAGACGGCCCTCAGCGTCGTACAGGTGTGCAAACTCTGGCGGGCGATTGAGGAGAGCCATGTTCGAGCAGTGCAGCAGCTCCGCGAAGAGCTCGCAGATGCGATATCGCTCGAAGGTGAGCGGCGTGATATCGCCGACAGTCGTCCGTACTGGGCCATTCTGCCGCGGTGATTAGTGCGCAGAAATAATAGCGTGAAATTGGACCAACAAAGGACCGCGGTTTGCGCAAGTAGAGTTGGAAGACGTCTAGCCTTGCGCACAGAATGTCGAGTACGGCGCCCAGATGCACCACCCCCATCCGGTCCACCATCTCGCGCAGCGCCCGCTCCAAAGTTTCGCGTCCGCCATCTTCATCAAGCGCGCTCGAGTGCAGCTGCTGCTGCACTTGTATGAGACGATTGCGCAGCGTGTGGAAGAGGTACGGCTCAAAGTAGTCGCTGTTGTTCTTCCGTATGAGCTCGATGATGATCGCTATCGAATGTACAACTGCAGACG